AATACCCTCAGCCAATTCACGTTGAACAGACTGCATTAATTTTCAAAACACACACACGTGACTACTACCACACAATCAATTCCAGCAAGTAACTCTATTTTAATGCTTTTTAGTTGGAGGATAATTGATTTACAATGTCATGCTGGCTTCTGCCCTACAACAACGTGACGCAGCATGTCCCTTCCCTCTTGAACTTCCCTCCCACCTCTAACCCCATCCCACCCCTCACTCCATCCCACCTCTCTAGGCTGACAGGGACCAAGGGCCGAGCTCCCCGTGTTACAGAGCAAATTCCCACGAGCTGTTTTACATACGGTAGTGTGTATGTTTCCAAGCTACTCTCAATTCATCCCACCCCCTCCTGCCCCCACTGTGTCCACAAGTGTGTTCTCTCTGTCTGCGTCTCCACTGCTGCCCTACAGAGACGTCCATCAGTACCGTTTCTCTAGATTTCGTATATGTATGTTTAATATATGACACCTGTTTTTCTCTAACTTACTTCACTGTGCAAAACAGGCTCTAGGGTCTCTCTCTCCTTATTTCAGGGGATCTCAATCTTAAGAGCCAACAAACCACACACTACAAATGCTGGTTCATCTTGACCAACGTTCATGGAAGGTCTCTTGACCTTTGTGACTTCCATCCGAACTACACAGACAATCTAATTGATAACTGTGCTTCTGGTCCGTGTATGGAAAAGTCTTGCAATGCACAGGAGAGAGGTTACAATCTTCTCCCAAAGGGAGGAAAAAGACTCCAATCACTTTTAACTCTCCCCCAAATCCTGATTATCATTCCAAACTAATTAACCTGAAGATATGTCTTATAAGCCAGATGTAATTTCATTCTTAAAAGCTTACTTCCATTTCTGACTGCCTGCAACATGCGTGTGCTGGATAAATATTTTCTCAGAAGGCCAAGACCAGATAACTGAGGTCTTCCTGAAATTTAAATTAGCTATTACACTAGTTCTCAGAGGGAAAAAAGCCACACCCAGTGAGACAAAGAATGATTAAGATAAAAGAATATGTTTCCATTGTTTTCGATTCTTCGCTCAGCCCACATGAACTCAATCTGATGGTTATTTGACCACTAGATAAATTAAGATCCTCGAGTTCACAGTTTTCTTTGGTGATAAAATCAATTCACTTGACACTTTGAAATCTCAAAGCAAAGAAAGTCTGCTTTCAGGGTGTTGAGCGTGCAGTGGTTCTTTTCTTTTTTTAAAGAATGGAAGAAGATAAAGATGTTTCATGGAGTAGCGTTACCAACTGCGCTGAGATGCTACCATGACTCAGGCTTCACTCTTCTCGGGAGCCGTGGTCTCATTCCCATTTCATAGATGAGGGAGTTTGGGGGAGATTCGGCTTCTTAAGATATACAGCTCTTCCCTTCCTGACCCAGAAGGGAAGACTGGAACCCACACTCTGGCTCTAAGCCTAGCGCTGGGATTGGGGTTAGAAGCCCTTTAACTGCTCCACGCCCCACGCTCCATGCTCCCCAGCCCCGTGCAAACCTTGCCTCCAGAACAGCTAACCATCTAAAACTGAGGTCAACAAACTAAGACCCACAGGATTGATCGAGCCCACTGCCTGTTTTGTAGAATCCATAGGCTAAGACTGTACTATTTTTTTTCACATTTCCAAGTGATTCTTTTTTTTTTAAAGTAAGACAATTACATGACATGTAAAAATTATATGAAATTTGAGTTCTACCACCCATGAAAAGCTTTCCTGGAGCCTGGCCTGTGGATGCTTCTGAGCGACAGCACCAGGGGTGAGCAGTGGTAACAGACCAGCCCCGGCCTGCAAGGTCTCCGGTATTAACAACTGTCTGGTCCTCGAAGCAAAGTGTGTGGCTGCTGCTGAGAAGTCACTTCAGTCTGTGCGAAGCCATAGACGACAGTCCATCAGTCTCCGCTGTCCCTGGGGTTCTCCAGGCAAGAACACTGGAGTGGGTTGCGATTTCCTTCTCCAACGCATGAAAGTGAAAAGTGAAAGTGAGTGGCTCAGTGGTGTCCGACTCTTAGCGACCCCATGGACTGCAGCCTACCAGGCTCCTCCGTCCATGGGATTTTCCAGGCAGGAGTACTGGGGTGGGGTGCCACTGCCTTCTCGAAAGTGTGTGGATCCCTGACCTAAAGGACACTTAACTTCTTATGTACACTATAAACATCGTAGGATGGGTAAATGTAGAAAAATCTGTCTCCCCTGATCCTAGCTGCTGGAGATGCAGGAGGTAAATAGATCTGTCCCTCAACCAACAACAGCTCTTCAATGCTGAGAAAGGCTGATGCTGCTTCCATCTTGCTAGGCTCTCTCTCTCTTGTATTCACGAGGCACAGCCACCATCACCACTTCACCAGTGACCAAGGACCTATCACTTTAGACCAGAAACCGTGCTAGGTGTCAGAGATCTCATTTCTTTTCAGGTGAGAAAACAAAAGTTAAGGAACTCACCCAAGTTCAAGAGGCTACGGAGATGCCTTGTTCTTACCATCCCAAGTTACTTCAAAACGCAAGACTCTGAACTTCTTCTCTGCCAACATATCCCTGTGGAATTGTGGAGGTGGAGCCCAAACAAGAAACTTCTACTTCGATTTAAGCAGAACTGGACAAGACCAGGCAACTGGCACCCCAGGAACTGGTTACTAACGTAGCCTGGTGCTTCCCACACCATTCCCCTTCCCCACCTGACAAGCAGCCAGGCAGATGCAGTGTTTACTTCAAACAACTGCCTCACAAGGAATATCGCCTTGATTAAACCAGGACAACTCTATACCTTTAGAAACAAAACCAGACCTCAGAGATGCATGTTAGATCAGTTAAAACACAACAACCATCTCCTTCTGAGTGCTCTCTCTGGGAACTGTGGGTCTGCTTTACACATTTTTTTCATTTAAACTCCACAGTTCTATGAGGGAAACTTTGATTCCAATTTTACAGATGAGGACACTGAGCTTTCAAGGTTAATTTGCTCAAGATGATGTCAAAAACTAAGTTTTCTGACTCCAAATCCAGGCTCTCAATTGCTACGCAGGACTTTCAAATAAACTTGCAATCCTAATATAGACACGGTGCTGCCTACAAGTAAAGGAGAAGTAAGAAAACTCACTTGGAAAGACACTGACCACGGTATCGACTGTCACCTCAACTGGACCCCCTGCAACACCGTTCCCCAAAATCAGAACTCCGAATGACCAGTTCCGCTGTGCAGGTGGGTCGCTCCTCTGCAATGTTCTTCATTCTCCCGACAGAAGCTCTTGGGAGGCACAAACCATTCCCATCCCTCGTCCCTCCCTGGCTCCCCAAGGAACCTCCACGGGGCAGGCATTCAACGACATGCTCTATGAACGCAAGCTCTGCACAGAAGGTGACTTATTAACAAACGCTGCCACCAGAGCAGAAAACCTGAAGATACAGAATAAGCAAAGAACTAAATTTGGTTCATAATGCACTAGTGCTCAAAGTGCTGTCTTCAGAATAATTTGTGACACATGAGATACAACTCACGTATAAGGTGCTACCCTCACCCAAACACTAAGGGGACCAGTGACCCGATTGTGTATTTATAACCCCACAAATGAAGAAAGCGTGAACACTCAGGCCTAAAATCTTCACCAACAGTCTAATGTAGAAACCAAAATCCCTCCTGTCCTTGTGCTATGTACTTTCCCAACTGTATGTCTCAGCCTCTCCTTCCCGGCCTTTCCCAAACACCACTTTCTTTCTTAGAAAGAATGAAAGCTTGAGAACAGATTTTTTTTCTTTCCCCCCTTTAGTACCCTAAATGGGGCTTCCCAAGTGGCTCGGGGTAAAGAATCCTCCTGGCAGTGCAGGAGACTCTAGTTCAGTTCCTAGGTTGGGAAGATCCCCTGGAGGAGGAAATGGCCACCCACTCCACTATTCTGGCCTGGAGAATCCCATGGACTGAGGAGCCTGGTCTGGTTGCAGTCCAAGGGGTCGCAAAGAGTGGGACACGGCTGAGTAGGCACGCACACAAATGACCCAAGATAGTTATCTTGAATACAGGAAGGGACAGCCAATGTGTAAAGGACTTGAGCAGAATGGCACACCTTCAGTGTCAGCTAAGGAACACTGACCACGTACAACGTCGGGCAGACCACGGATTCTACGGAAGGCAGCCTCCTCCTGAAAACTTTCGCACAAAAAGTTGCTAGAAGGCCACCACGGATGGCACCACACAGCCGCATGCTGTGCCAAGGGCGGTAACGCCCTGGCAGGAGAGGACACCTCGGAAGGCTCAGCCGGTTCTTATTAAGGGATCGCGGGGGGCCAGAGGAGCTCTACTCGATACAGACGCTTCCCTACGTCCCTAAACACCCAGGTCCCTAAACGCATCCGAAGTGAACCCACCGAGTATCCACAAGTGAAGTCTCTTACGAAGCTGTATTTACAAACACGCACCCGAAAGCACAGAGTGCTCTCCAAGCGTCTGCACTCCCCAGGAAGTCGACTTTGCAACGCGTCAAGAAGTTACATCGGGGCGCACAAGACACGCCTGGAGATCCAAACCGACAACCGCACCGCTCCAAGTCGACGCTGGCAAACCCGTGGCCCAGAACTCGCGGTTCCGACGGGGGCCCCCTTCTCGAAGCTCGAACCGCCGCGGCGCAAAAATGAATGACGGTTGGATCCGCGTTAGGTTTAAATTTCCTGGCTCCGGCCACAATGCCAAACCTAATTAGAGCATGCGGTCAACGCTCGGCCCTCTCGGCGCGGTGTCGGGCAGCGCTCGGGCCGGCAACAGAGTCGGGAGACAGTCGCACTCGTCCCCCCGCCCCCCCAACCCCGCAGGCGAAAGCCCCCTCACCCCACCCCGCAGCGCTCCGCCGGGCGCCCCCGCGCCCGCCGCCGGCACTTCGGCCCCGTCCGCGCTCCGGCCCCGCGGCCGGGACCCCCCCCGGCCCGCAAACTCGGGCGCGCGCGCTTCCGTCCAGCAACCCGCGGCCGGGGCGGGGGCCGGGGGAGGGGACCTACCTCGTACAGCTCCTCGGAGGCCATGGCGGGCGGTGGGGCGCGCGGCACGGGGCAGGGCCGGCGAGGCGCCGCGCCGCCGGCGGCCCACACTTTGTTCCAGTCGGGTCCCTGCGTGGCCTGCGCTTCCTGCTCCGCGCGGCGCCGGGCGGGCGGGCGCTCACTCCCGCTGCTGCGGGCCGCCGGCCGGGTCGGTGCGCAGGAGCAGCTGCGCAACGCGCCCTCCGCGCCGCGCTCACTCCGCGGCGGGCCGGCTGGGGCTCGGGCTCATCGCGCCGCCGCGGGGCCGGGCCGGGCTGGGGCGGGCGCGGCGGCGGTACACGGCGGCGCGCGGGCTCCGCGGCTCCCCCTCTCCGCGGTAGTGCAGAAAGCTTCCTACTTGCGGCCGAAAAACCTGCCCCGGCTACTGAGCATGCCCAGTGCGGCCGCCCGGCCCGGCCGAGCCGCGCTCCGGGTTTTCGGGCCGCCCGCGCGGGGGGTGGGCGGGGGGGGCGGGGCGGGGCGGCCGGCGGGCGGGGCGGCGCGGGGAGCGGCGGGCCGCGCTGGGGCCAGGCAGGCGGGGAGCAGCGGGCAGGAAGGGGCGGGGTCTGCTTCGGGGGCGGGGCCGCGGGCGGGGGCGGGGCCTGCTCGCCCCAGGGCCCTCCGGAGGTCGGGCCGGGTCGCGCGCCCGCCTCGACGTGGGGGGCGTGGCCGCGGCGCGCGGGGGCGGGGCCTGCTCGCCCCAGGGCCCTCCAGAGGTCGGGCCCGGTCGTGCGCCCGCCTCGACGTGGGGGGCGTGGTCGCGGCGCGCGGGGGCGGGGCGAGGGCGGGGCAAGCTCGCCCCAGGGACCTCCGGAGGTCGGGCCGGGCCGCGCGCCCGCCTCGACGTGGGGGCGTGGCCGCGGGCGCGGGGGCGTGGCCTGGTGGCGGGCGGGGCCCAAGGGGCGGGGCCTGCTCGCCCCGGGGCCCTCCGGAGGTCGGACCGGGCCGCGCGCCCGCCTCGACGTGGGGGGCAGAGGGCGGCGGCGCGCACGGGGGCGGGCACCGGCGGGCCAGAGGTTGGGCTCGGGGCCTCGCCGCCCGGCGCCCGCAGCCCCGACGGCAGTGGCGCGCGGAGCCCGTCCAGGCCGGGCCAGCCCGCCGAGGGCCGGGGGCGTGGCCAGGTGGAGCCCCTGCCCCGCCACGTGCCCGCCTCCCCCGCGGCCGCTTCCAAGACCCGGAGCCGGAGCGCGCACCCGCTCGGCGTGCAGGCCGGGGGGCGGGGGCGGGGGCGGGGGCGGCGCGAGGGCGCGGCCGCCTGCGCCCGGCCCGCAACTTCCCCCGCGCCGGGCCTCCCGGTTCCTCTTGAGCGCCCGCCTCCCCCGAACAGGAGCTGGGAGGAGGGGCCGGGCTCCGGGGAAAAGTCTGGGTTCCAAGGGAACGGGGCTGTCAGTCGTGGTTCTCCTGGGCGGGGCGGGGACGGCGGGGACAGTTCGGTGACCGGCGATGTGCTAGCTACCCCTGCACTCGCCGCGGGAGAGGGGCATCGTAGGCCGGCCCCCTGGGCACACCTGCCGGGACCATGGACGTCACCCCATCGCTGCGGAACGAGGAAGGAGCTGCGTGGCCCGACTGCCCCAAACGGCCGGCCGCCGGCAGCCTCCCTGCGAGGAGAAGGGGACCTCGCGGGGCCCTGCGGACAGGCCGCTTCACGTGGCCCCCATCAAACCCAGCCCTCGCCGTCCCCGGTGAATCTTCCCCTGCCGCCCCGATCCCGGTGCCCCCGGCTCCAGTGAACTAGGAAAACCGACCTCCGAAAAACAAGGCTCCTCCCACCAGTTTCCTTCTTCAAACCCCACTCGATGGTGCCCCGTACGCAGTTTAATGACCAAAAGGCTTCTCATAGACCCCGCTGGCCTTCCTGCCATACCGTTCTCTACCTACAAAAGAAGCTCCCCACCTCCCGCCCCGGTGAATTGGAATTCCAGCGTCCCCACGCCCACGAACGAGCGCAGCGCCTGCCCTTAAGTCACTTCAAGTCGAATCACCATCGTCTCCACGCCGCCTGCAACCCCCTCTGCCTGGAATGCCCCCCCTCCTAAAACCGTGAACTCCTGCTCCGACGTCACCCCAAAAGCAAAGCCTTCTGACTTCCAGGACCGAATGAGTCACCACAGCCACTCGGCGCTCACCTTTGCGGACTCTGTTCTATCCACTCTTCCCTCCCACCCCCGTTTCTGTGAGACTGAAGCGCTACCTACTGCGCTACCTACTGCGCTACCGAGGCACCTCCACCCCCGTTTCTAGACTACGACCTTCTTCCACATTGCATCTTCAAGTTTGACTCTCCAGCCCCCACACTATACCTACAAAACAGATTTTTTATTCTGTGAATTGGAATCCCGGCGTCCACAGCAAAGCCCCTGACACCTAATACAGTTCTGATTCCGTTATCTTACGCCTTGACAACAGCATCGCAAAGTTCCCACCTTCTCAACCCGTCCAGGCTCTCCCCTTGACCGCCCAGGCAATTCCGTCTCCCCTCCAAAGCAGAGCGCCTCTTTCCCTTTCACTGAACGTGTTGTTTGCTACATCTGCTTATCGCCTCCCTGGCACACAAATTCATCAACCATAGTTGTAAACTCCTTGAAAGCAAGGAGTAGCAGCCTGTAGCCTCCAAGTCTCAAAGCGGTGGTCGCCCAGCTATGCTGGTGCTCAAAGACTTGCGGGAGGTGGTTCAGAGTCACACAAGCCCAGTAAAACACGAATAAAAAAAGAGGGACATTCAGTATAAAATGAACACACACACCTTAACTAGAAACCTCTATACAGTCACAGACCGAAATAAATATAAAGCCCCCACTGTTACCGAGGAGAGGGGAGGAAGACAGGAGACTGTGAAGACATCCATAACTACTATTCTCAGATTTGAAGCTAGTCCATTGGATACACATGCGACCCTAACACAAGGAGAGTTCCCTCACTGTGGGGAAAAAGGAAGAGGGGATTACAGCGTTAAAAAAAAAAAAAAGGTAACTCCAAATTCCGATGTATACGGACCTTCAATCCTGATGACCTGGATTATTTATGCTGCTGTGACCAGCATAAATATTAAGAGTAACCACTAGGTAGAAGTCACCTCGGTAACACACCGGGAGTAAGCAAGCCATTCCCCCAAGCTCACCTCCCTCCTCCCGTGATTAGCTGGTTTCCATCTTAATTTAAGAACAAAGCAGAGGAGACCTGTACTGAAGTACCCAGCTAGTGACTGAGAAAGTGAGGTCAGCTGTCCACTTTGTTCCCCTCATTCACCTAAAACACCCCTGGTTTGTTTAATACGGTTTTGTTTATGTATTTCACCTCCTTAGTTCAATCTGTCTTACTTTCAAGCAAATTCTACTCTCTCCCCTCACTTTTTAAATATAAACATCTTAGCGGTGCTCATAGCAGAAGCAAATATGTCCAAGATCATGTAATGGCTTAGAATTTATACCACCTTTTATCAAAAAGTGAAGTTTTGCAGTAGTTACCATGACCACGTGTGTGGGTGCTGTGAAAGTACTTTCTCGGTGAATTGAGAATAAAAGTGCAATCACATCCCTTAAACACATCAAGGAAGATATCCGCATTGTGCCAAAAATACATGCGGCACAACGGTTTGTACTAGAGAAATACACAAATCTCAAAGATTACCGAAATGTCGAGAAGGAAGAAGATGGACACATGTGATTAAAATACAAATCTACTGGTTCTAAGCTTCAATTCTTACCTGAGGTGAGTGTGTGGTGGAGACCAGCAGACACCAGCTAACTCCTTTTCCAAATTTATACGGACAATGGGTAATCGACAGTCGGCACCACTCAGGACTCTTCGGATCAGGAGTCAAAGCCACTCGGCATCTTGGCAGAACAATGGCTAACATCTTAAATTAGAAGTTCTTCCCTTTCCCCACTCAGCATCCCAACCAATCACTTCTTCCATTCTCCCAAGGATCTGCATTTCATCTACATTTGAATCCCAAGTCTCCCGAAAGGAGATGGGGGATGGGACAGGAAAGACAAAAGAAGCCAAGCTCTAGCAACCACTGCTCTCAGAGTTGGAGGCATTTAAGGTTGGGTGGCTTGGAAAAGGGCCGATAATGATCCCCTTCATTACGCACCCCCAAAGCAAAATCTATCTTGGCCACCTCCACCAAAACCTAAAATTTAACTGAAGTTTTTTTTCGAGAAGTGACCTAAGTTGGTTGGTTTGTGCATACTGAGACCAAAGAGAAGTTAAATGCCATTCTTGTTATAGAGTATTCATCCATAAAACTTGGGGAAATTCCTATCTCAATCACTCAAAAGAAAGTAAGAAGATTTCAGGCCTTACAAAGCAAAAGAGAGAAACACAGGAAACTCATAAAATGAATTCAGGTGCTAGGCCCTTCTCTGAATTTACAGCCAACCAAGTCTTCCCTGAAAGCTTGAATTGGATACCAGTGGCCCCTACTTTTCTAGACAACCAGCAACCTCTGATTCCTGATTTCAGCTGCTGTTTCTCTCCCTGCCAGATCGTCAGTTTCCCCATTTCAACATGCAACTTTTCTCCCTGCCTACGTCCATCTTAGTTCCAGGTTTTATTTTCTCTTTTGTGTGGGAACAAGTGCCTAATCCGGCTGCCACGTTGCTGTTTCCTGGCCAAATGCTGTGACTATTTGATCTCTTTGCCCTAGCGATAGTAATTCTGAGACTTCTTCACATTTGATTTCACCAGTTTCTTCTTAGGCTGAGGTTCCACCATTGGCCAAACCTCCTCAATTTACAGTAAAGGGTTATTTTCTTCCTCAACTAGATTTAGTGTTTAACCACAATTCCTTTCTATCTTTAAGCCAAAGCTGATTCTACCAGAAGAATCCTTGTTATATGTCTTTGGTATCTTTCTTTGATGGAAGCAATTGATTAAGACTAATAGAATTTCTCATTTGTAACTTTATACATTGTTCCATCTTCCAGAACTAAAATTCATAACGAGTAAACAGCCTCAAGACACTGCCTTGACATTCGGTTGACTTTATAACAGGGCAGTAACTAATTCATTTTAGATTCCTGAAAAAAACATCAAATGTAAGTGTTCCCTGAATTATTGTGATGGCTGGGTCATTATGTTTGTCATTCACGGGAGACCATCCCAGTAATCTTATTACCTTCTGGCCTTTTCTAGAGAGAAAGAGATTATCAGTAAGAGCAAGTAGGCAGAGATGAGTACATGGAGTCTGACTGGTAACACCAGGTGCAAAAGAAGCCGTGGAACTCAGAATAAGCTAAGGAGCAGAGCAGGTGGGGGCTGAAACCTGAAGCAAAGAGTAAATGAATCTGAAAATAAAGCTCAGACCACAGTCGCAAACAGAAGCATGTCCTGGGGCTTGATTTTTCTCAATCACTAGTATTGCCCAGTGCAGAGGTTCGCAAATTGTAGTCTCCTGACCAGTAGCAACAGATTCACCTTGAATCTTCCTAGAAGGACAAATGCTCTACCACCAGCTGCCTACTGGCACCTAGCAATCTGTTTGACAAGTTCTCCAGGCGATTCTGATGCACACTGAAGTTTGAGAAGAACTGGTTCAGAACAGTTTTCTTTGGGGTGGTGGTGGTTTTTTATTTTTTCTTAATCAAGCTACAGATGTCAAACCAGTAGTGGATCTTTAGATCATTTTAGTAGATCTTGATTGGCATTTTGAAGTGAGACAGGATGGAATGGATAGAATGGAATGGACTTGGAAAAGGAATGAGTACATCCATACTTCACTAGGGGACTATGTTGTTGTTTAGTCACTAAGTCGTGTCCAACTCTTGCGACCCCATGGACTGTAGCCCACCAGGCTCCTGTGTGCATGGGATTTCCCAGGCAGGAATTCTGGAGTGGGTTGCCATTTCTTTCTCCAGGGGATCTTCCCAGGGGACTATTGTTTCCATTAAATATACACGTATTTTTAAAATATAGATAAATACGTATATGTTTATATATATGTATATACACACATATGGGTATATATACTCCCACATTCATATATATGTATATTATTATACATTAGGTCATAATGTAAAAGACATTTCTTACACTTTATCAGGACCCAAAAATTTGAAAACCACTGTTTGGCAGATGAATAACAAACCCCTGCAAAGTTGGATTGTTAATTATATATGAATGGTGTAGCCAAAGTACTCTAAAACCATTTTCTTAATGATCCCCTTTTTGCAAAACAAATTATTTCCCCATAAATGCTACAAAGGTGTTCAGACCAGGCTCCTTTCTGAATTAACATGTATTCTAGACTAATATATTTTGAACTAATGAGGATTTAGGCCTTCTCTGTCCAAAGAATGTAAAAGCATTTCCAAAGAATATCCCTAGCAGACTGTGCAAAGTGAATACAGTTTAATTTGGTAAACAGCAATATTAAAAAAATGAATAAATACAAACAAAAAGGACTTGCCCTGTACCAGAAACTGTTACAAGCCCTTTGCAAATATTAACCTCTTTCACTCAATAGCACCTAATAAAAATTATAGCGAACATTTACAAAGAAGCCTCAGGAAGCACATGTTTCCATAAATCACCTTTTGGAATAGGCACAATGGTTGTCCCCAGTCCTGGTTAAGTGGGGACACTAGAATTTACACTCAGGTCCAGGTAACTCTGCTTCCCAGGTGAGGCAGCAGTAAAGAATCTGCCTACCAGTGGAGGAGACCCAAGAGACTCAGGTTCGATCCCTGGGTCAGGAAGATCCCTTGGAGGAAGACATGGCAACAACTCCAGGGTTCTTGAATGGAGAATCCCGTGGGCTACAGTCCATGGGGCCACAAAGAGTCAGACACGACTGAGCACAACAACAACAACAACTGGGTAACTCTGCTGTCTGAGCTCCGAATCCTCAAGTTACCGTCCTTCCTTCATTCATTCATTCAGCAAATATTTATTGACCACTTACTGCATGCCAGGGGGCTTCCTGGTGGCTCAGATGGGAAAGAATCTGCCTGCAGTGCAGAGTTCATTCCTTGAGTTGGAAAGAACCCCTGGAGAAGGGAATGGCAACCCACTCCAGTTTCCTTGCTTGGAGAATCCCATGGTCAGAGGAGCTTGGTGGGCTAAAGTCCACGGGGTTGCCAAGACTTGGACACAACTGAACAGCACATGTTGTGTACCAGGCTCCTTGCTAATCAGTGTATATACAATCATCCCTACTCTCAAGCAGCTAATCATCTATTGCAAAAGATAAGCATTAAATTGTCAGGAAAAACTGTGGTTATAAAATCAAGGAAGGCTGCAGGAAGCTGTGAGCGCACATAACCTAGCCATGAGTCTGCTCTACTGCTTCCCCAAAGACAGTGTCCCTCACCCCATGGACACTCCAGACATGCTCAGACACCAGAAGAGCAGGATCACGGAAAAGTTATTTTCATACACTTTGATACCCACCAAAAAAACACATCGAAGTAGCCATCATGGGAAGAATCAACATTTTTACTTGCACACAGTTGCTTTACAGTTTAGCATTTAAAAATGAAATATTAGACATTCTAAATGAGTTAACGCCCTGATCATAGCAAACACCCTCTTCCAGCAACACAAGAGAAGACTCTACACATGTATATCACCAGGTGGTCAACACTGAAATCAGATTGATTATATCCTTTGCAGCCAAAGATGGAGAAGCTCTATACAGTCAGCAAAAACAAAACCGGGAGCTGACTGTGGCTCAGATCATGAACTCCTTATTGCCAAATTCAGACTTAAATTGAAGAAAGTAGGGAAAACCACTAGACCATTTAGGTATAACCTAAATCAAACCCCTTAGGACTACACAGTGTAAGTGAGAAATAGATTTAAGGGACAAGATCTGATAGAGGCCTGATGAACTATGGACAGAGGTTCCTGACATTGTACAGGAGACACGGAGCAAGACCATCCCCAAGAAAAAGAAATGCAAAAAAGCAAAATGGCTGTCTGAGGAAGCCTTACAAATAGCTGTGAATACAGGAGAGGCAAAAGGCAAAAGAGAAAAGGAAAGATATACCCATTTGAATGCAGAGTTCCAAAGAATAGCAAGGAGAGATCAGAAAGCCTTCCTCAGCGATCAATGCAAAGA